ATTCAACGCACACATGCACCAGCAAGTGCACGGAGGCGGCCCGGGAGTCTCCTCCGGCGCTCGCTGTGGCTGGCCTCTCGCGTGGCGAAAAAACAGCCGGGTGGGTCGTTGAACGCGCATCCTCGCCCTGTCCAATCCCACGGCGGCAGACTTGTTGCTAGGACGTTATCAATATGCTATTTGTGTTTCAATGGTCGGTGTTATGCAGGCGAGAACGCAGGGCATACATCACGCTTTTAATGAAGTTGTAAAAAAAATTATTCTTGCTTGTGACAGTTGGGATACTTGCCATGAAATGCGGTTTGTGTAGTATTTGTCTCGTCTTTTTTCTCCTATTGCATTTTTATGACATCTTTGCATGTGTGTCTGTATATAATGGTTCTGCAGTCTCGTATGCGAATGTGATAATTGCTGAGCTAATGAGTTATTTGTATTATAAATGTGAAATGTAAAATATATAATGAGAACAAAGTTGCGATCCTGTGGCGGTGCTAATAGTAACGCCAGTCATGTAACTTTTGGCTGTAGCAGGTAACAGGTTTTCTACATTACCAGCAGAACCCTGTGCTTTAGGGAACTGAAATACCTGAAGGCACCTTTGTAATGGATATAACAGATACCTGACCACATACTCGTATCTTGAACACACTTCTTCAGCACACCTGGTACCTGCACACGCCTGCCTGCTGAATGTACATACCTGGTACTGACTATGGCCGTGTCTCTGCTCCGCTCTAGACACACAAAACCCTGGATTTTACCTGCATCATTCCCTAACGCATAGCCAAACATTTAATAGCAAATATCAAGCTTGAATGAAATGAATATAAAAATATATATATGTATATTCATACCGCGATGCAAATGACAAATTTGAGAAACTGAAAGCATCAAAGTTCAGGGTCAGTTGTGAACTACGAAAGTACTTTGTACCTGGGCGTTTGTGATCTCTTGGCACACTCTAACATGCATACTCCTAATGCATCTTAATCCCCAACTTCATTTCTTTCCTCCCACTTAAAACCTAAAATCTGAATGCACTCGTAAAAAACAACTGCGTGCGAATAAACTTAACCGCAAAACATACAAACGGATCTTACAATGAGAAAAACAGAAAAAAAACATATATTTAAAAAACGTATATAGAGCTGCCATTTGCTTTACACTTCAGCCACTTACAGATTACTGAAAATGAAATGAGGTATAATACGCTATCAGCAAAACATCTGTTTGAAGAGGATCAAGTTGTTAGCGAAATGGTTACTGGGAGAGTGCGATATTATTATTACTGTTGCTGACTAAATATCAGGATTTGTAATTACTACTATAAAGAAATATTCGCAGAAAATCATCATGACCTCTATACAGATAAGTGGCAAATCATGATTATCATGTAACCGTAATGATAATGATAAATGCAATTATGGTAATCATTATGGCTAGAGCGAGCTTAATAGTATTATACGTGATAACGCTTGGTCATTATATTATGAACATGATTAGAGTAATATAAACAAAAAATATGAAAATGCGGTCATTTACGATCATAAGAATGATATTAGCAGTAACAGTTAAGGTAATTACAAAATGGTACAAGAAAAAACTTTTAATAATAGAGACGAAAATACAATAATGATTATCATAATGGTAATAATAATGGTATTAATAAAACTACAGATACCTAAAAAACATAAACTGATAACATCATTCATGGAAACAATAACTGCTGCATGTGATATCAATAATAATGACTGTAATAGCATCATCACCCCTACCAATACCGTCCACAATTCTTTCACTATTACCAATATCAATAGTAGTAGTAGTTCTAATAGCTTTAACATCCAACCTCGCTCCACCGCATGGCCAACGAATTAGCGGCCAAGGAGTGCAATAATAACGCGGTTCAGTGGGTGAATGCAGCACGTGCTATTTGGGTATGCATGATCTTGGTTTCATACTGAATGTGGAGACCATCTGAAAAAGGTATTGAGCGCATGGGTAGTGGTAGTGGTGGTTGAATGAAAATACGTATTGTAGTAATAGAAGTAGATAGTTATATGTGTGTATATATATATATATATATATATATATATATATATATATATATATATATATATATATGTGTGTGTGTGTGTGTGTGTGTGTGTGTGTGTGTGTGTGTTTTACTGTAATTATATTGGTAGAAATAATAGTATTAATAGCGATAGTAATAAAAAAAATATTTTGATGATAATAAAACGGTGGTAGCAGTTGTAGTGGTAGTAGTAGTGGTGGTGGTGGCGGTAGTAGAAGTAGGAGTTGTAAAAGGAGTTGTGGTAGTAGTAGCAGCTGTTGTTGTTGTAGTAGAAGTAGTAGTAGTTGTAGTAGTAGTAGTGGTGGTGGTGGTGTTAGTAGTGGTGGTGGTGGTGATGGCGATAGTGATAGTGGTGGCGGTGGCGGTAGTAGTCGGAGTTGTAGTAATAGTAGTTATTGTTGTTATTGTAGCTGTAATAAAGATGATTCTGAAAATCCAACAACTGTTATGATAAATGATAACAACAACAAAAACTATAACAGTAAAAAAAATAAACATAAGAATAATACATATAAAACGATCATAACAACAACAATAATACTATTTATAATACTGGCAACAATACAAATTAGTAATGATAATAGTGATTATATAAACTGTTATGATTATGATAATGGCGATGATATCAATCAAGAAATAATCATAATAATAACATTTTTCAATCCAAAAGTAATAACAGGAAAAATAATCATGATAACTAACAGTGTAAGACGAATAATCACAAGCACAATTATAAAAAATACCACTACTACTAACAATGCTGATTGATATAATTATAATTACGTTATAATACTGGCAATGACAGTGTTGATAAAATGACAATAGTGATCACATTTAATGATAGTAATGATATCAATAATGATGATAACAACAATTATTATGATGATAACAACAATAGTAATAATAATGACAATGATGTTAACAATAACATTAAAATAATCATTAGAAAACGTAAACATTATGATAGTAACGACAAAAATAAAAAATAAAAAGGATAATGTGAACAAATATAATAACAATGACCATAACGATATCACTAATTAACGATTAGTATACCAATAATATTAAGAGTAATGATGCTAATAATATATGGCAACAAAAACGAACACGTGACAATAGCACTAAATATGATGATAAATAGTACAAAAAATAATTATACAAAATAATGATGATGATGATGATGATACATAGTAGGGAAATTTTAAAATGATGACAGTGATGATGATAAATATTATTATAGAGGTGAAGGTTATGGAATAATAATGATGATGTTAATAAGAACAAAAAAGAAAGAAAATATAATAATGATGATGATGATAATGATAATGATATTAATGATAATAACAATAACAATAATAAACACAGCATCAACAACAATAATAATAGCAATAATGCTAATAATGAGGATGAAGATAATGATAATAATAACATAATAGAGAAATTCAATGGCAGGATTAAAAAATATAATTATTGGCAATCATAATCATAATAAACTACTTATGATATTTATAGTAAAATCACAAGCAAGATGAAAATAAATGAGTGTGGTAATAGCTTGAAAACCATCAACGGTACTTAAATGTGACAGTGATTATCATATTAACGATATTCATTAAAGTACCGTAATAAGAGATAACGTACGCAGGCTTAAAATAATAAACAAGTCACTGATTTTAACTGTACGAAAAATAAACTAAGCTAATCATTCTTAAAACTTTAATAATGAAATAAATTGAATAGAAAAAACTTTTTTTTTTATCTTGCACTCTACATGCATTAACAATAATACGATTGTCATATTATCAGTTATATCCCTCTGTTATGACCTCAGATGAATGAGTCCCATGTAATAAAATGACTCATAACTGATGCAATGATAGCAACGATGAAAAGCGTAAATATTAATTGAATTTCGAGCCTAATGAGTTATGGTAATTCTTACCGTCCCTTTAAACAAGAGCTCTCATGTGAAATCATTTAACGGTAGGTTAAAAAACAATGCGTAATAGAATATTCGTATAAATTCATAATAAATCAATGTTGATATGCTAAAAAGGACTCTATCACGAGGCATTGCGTATTGTGATTTCTTCTGCAATGCGAGGATATTGATAACCCTTCGATGACATTACTATAAACGTTCTATCATTATGTGCCAGTGACAGATGGCAACAATAACTGTCAGACGCCGCTAATATCGTAAAAGGAAGAGTTAGGACTCGTAGTTAAGGGAGATCTTACGCAAAGTCTTCCTATACGAATCCAGACCTTGATTACATTTTTTAAACTTGGCGGTCGCGCTGCATTCGTATCGACCGCTGGATGCATGTGAGGCGAGGTTGCACCTAAGCCTCCAGCAAATCACACCTCCAATCAACGCCGTTTTCTCCGTCTCGTTATTCATTTTGCGCAGAATTTCCGAGCTTGGAAGAATAAGGGATTTATTCCCAATGTCCCCTGAGAGTCTGACATGTGGCTATTTCATATTAAGTATATAAATGAGCGTTATTTGGCATACTGCATGCGTGGGACAGGTAGAAAAGTTGTAAACAAGACCTAATAATACTTTACTATGTGCAAAGTAAAGTCTTCTAAATATATGCTTTCACCACTTCTTCTTTATAGAGGAATATGTGTGATTGTGCGCAAAAAATACAGTAACATCTTAAATATTAAACAAAACACAGAAAAGAATGTGCCATCAATTCACCATAGAGAAAACTTCAAAAGAAATATTCGAAGTTAAGGGTACGATTACTAGCTATATCTATAGGATCGAAATCCTCAACTTTAAAACTTTAGTAGGATCTAATACCAAATAAAAAATAGTATAGAGGATCGGAAGCCATAACCACAAGCGGGTTCTGTCGTCTATAGGCTTTCCTCCGAGTCCGAGCACATTGTTGGAACCTCAACTAACAAAGACGCAATGAGTTCATTGACCGTCTCGAAAACATGTCATGAGTGGCTTTAGTGCGACTTTTGTGATATTTTCAGCGCCTCCGCTTAAAATACTGGGCGCATGTAGATTTAAGGTAAGTCGGCATGTTGTTAAAGTTTCATAGAATAAGTTAGAAGGGTAGAAATGCCGTAGAGAGGTAGGGGGAAGTGTTTACAAACAAAAAGGTGTCAGTGTTTATTTGGGTTGAATGCGTCACCGAGAAGGAGAAACGCAGAATGTGAGGCGATGCCAGTTTCGCAACAACCAATTGCAATTAAACGCCGCCAGGTTGCTCACTGGCCATCTCCTGAAAACAGTTGTGCACAAAGCATATTAGTGGCAGGAGAGAGAGGTTTACAGGGGAGTTGGGGGGAGAGAGAAGCGGGAGGGAGGGAAATTATTGATTAAGTTGGCCGTGTAAGTGGGCCTGCTGCTGCTGCCTGCCACAGCCAGCCAGCCAGCCGCTCCCCCGCTACCAGGCCTACCCTGCAACGCGCTGCAACACCATGCATCACACAGGTAGATTTCCGCGGTTCGCATTCTTGGTTTTGTGTCTGGAGCATGTCAGAGTGTACAGTGAAGGTGACAAGATGGTAGTTTGTCGAAGTTTAGTGCATATAATGGAGGAAATAGGCCTATAATATGAGAATGGAGGGATGGCTCTCACTGGTTGGAGTGGTGGCTATTGATTTTTAGGCATGTTGCATCCCTGGCGAGGCTCAGAACAAAGGGGAGGCTGAATGGTCCCTGGTCCTGCACAAACCATGTAGGACTGGGTGGAGAAGTATGTGCTCAGCACAACAGTGCATTTTCAACATAGGCTTTCTCAAAGGTGAGTTGAGTTTTACCTTCCATAGGTTCTTGAAAACATGGCACATGATCATAAGTTGGATAGGCCTGTCATGTTGCCTCCTCTTAGCATAGGCTTATTGTGTTGCTAGGCCCAACACTAGGCCTAGCCTTTACTGGGAATTATGATACCTTCAGGAATTGGAAGAGGTTTTCTGTGGTAGAGTGTGAGTGACACATGGCTATATTACTGTAAACAAAAGAATGCAAATGCCTCCACAGGATAATTCAGGCTTTAAGAAGATTGTGATGAATTTGATGACTCTGTCTTATTTGAATAAAGAGTTGGAAACTAAGTTTTCAGAGAAGTTTGACAGTCTTATGGATGGATTTTCAAACTTTATAAACACTGTAAGGTGGAATGACAGTTCATAGTGACATGGTTCTGAAAGATGTAATAATTAATGAATTATGGATGAGACATTATAAAAGAATTCCTTTTCTGTTGTCTGAATAGTGTTAATTGTATAGGACTTTGGGTCAGCTTTGGATCGGAATGTTGAAAAAAAGGTTTTGAAGAAGCCCTAAGATAGACTTGAGTGATATTTGTATGGGATCCAGGAAGAACAGACTTTGTAACTAAGGGACATTGACTGGGTCTAGAGAACTGAGGGGATGGCACTTTCAGGGATTAGGTTATCATTAATTTTCGTACAGTTGTTTTACTCTTTATAGTTTGTAGTGTTTGTGCTTGGTAAATTTCTCAGTAATACTTTAAATTTGTTCACTACCTTATGTAGTGTAGTGCAATTGTCAGTGATGAATAATAATAATTTTATTCCAGGTATAGAGATGTATATGTTATTGTATATTTCTTTGATATTTATGATAAGTGAATAGTGTTTTTTGTAGATAATAGTTGATCTAAGTGGAAACAGAGATACAGAGCTTCAAACGTCTAGTTAGGAGCATTGGCATGTGTAGTACATGATACACATATTAACTTTCTAAATTTTATGGAACTCATTTTCTGTTCACTTACTTTTTTTTTCCTCATAGCCCATAATGTGGTGTTTGTTTGATTCCATTTGTCATGACTAATTGTGATTAAGATATTTGAACTTTTTAGATCTTAAAACTACAGTTAATCTTATTCAAAAGGGAACAACATTTGATTAATCGCATTTGAAAGAAATAAGCTAAGCATACCCAATATCAAGTGTAGTATAGTGTAAGTATGTTGACAGTTGTTACTAGACAGGGTTGTAGTTGTCTAGCTATTCTTTCATAGTAATTAAGTGACATTAGGGAAATCAGTAGTAGCCAGCATATGGATCCAAAGCCAGGTAGATGAGGTATATAATTAGATTTTAGATAGTATGTTAATGATATATTTTGTTTGCTATATCACAAAATAAAGAGGAAATGCAGAGAAAGATTAGAATTTGTCCTAAGCAGTATGAAGAAGGTAGAAACTCTGAAACAATTTTGAGCAAGGATTGTGTGACCTTGGTTTAGAAAGGGCTGTAGAATGGCCTTGGCTTGTGTCATCTTGAGAGACATAGTGGGGATGTTGCAGGTGTACCATAGAGGCAGTTCCCTAGTTCACAAATGGGTCGTATTGTTAATATATGTGTATTATCCTTTTTTGTGTAACTTATATACGTAGACATTTGATATGTTGTGACTTTCTCATCTTAGAGAATAAAATGATTAAAGGACAGAGCGTCTGGAATTGAAGAGTACCAGCTTTGATAAGATGGAGTTAAATGAAACTTTAAATTGCATAGAAATTATACATTTTACTAAAACTTGCTTAACTTTTCTGTCTTCAAGTTAGAGTAATTATCTTTGAATTTAATTAGTTGAATAGTTGATTATTAAAAGTAAGAGTACAATGCTAGGGTATAGGAAGAGGATTTAAGTGTTTTGCCATTGCTAGGAAGAGATGTATATATTTCTTTGCTTGATGTATATTTGTCTCCACTCATTTTAGTTTATAATTCAGTGACTGGGAAGGCACCTAAGCATGTTCTAACTAAAGATCATGATGCTAAAGCCAATGTAAGCTAAAAGTTAGAAGGTTTATTTTGTAAATTGAATAGTTACAGTTTTGCTAATCTGAAGTTAAAGATACAGTATTTCTTTAATATTTTCATAGAAACTCTAATGTGCTCTTACATAATTGATAAGTATGTAGATATGCATATGTATAGATATAGGTGTGACATAACTAGAGAAGGAAAACAAGGTGCTTTAAAGGTATAACAAAAGTCTCATGTATAGTACACTGCCGTTGTAACAACTTTTATACTTTCTGCTTGCTTTAAACAATGAATCAAAGAATCTGCCATTCATGTGCTTGCTTAATAAAAGAAAACAAGTGCCATGGATACTTACATCACACAGTTTAAACTGTTGAGTAATTTTACAATTGCTATAAGAACCTTAATGATTTTAGAAGCATTACTTAGGATGCAGGTGTTTTAACTTTTTATATTGTGTGTCTTTGAACAGCTTTCATTCCTACAAGTAATCCTCAATGGAACTTGATTCTGATATTAGTTCTTTTGAGAATTGTATTTTGTGATGCACAGTTAAAAGCCCACTGCAGTGTTTATGCCTAGTATGTATTAAACCTGATTTAGAACATTCTATGATAATCAAGGATATAATTTACATATATTTCCATAATTTTGTATTTTTAATATATTGAACTAGTACTTTTATAGGTCTTTATTTTTTACCTTGTTATACATTCTCTAAATATTATACCAAGACCCAGGCCCAGCACTTATATATATGATTTTTCAGGTTTTTAGTTAATGTATATCCTCATATAGTCTAGTCTGGCTATAACTTCTACTCACCACATTTTTACATGTACTCTTATCAGTACTGTTATTGAAAAGAATTCTTTGTTTTGATTTAATAGTATTAGTCGTCCCTTATGGTGGATGTTCTGGCAAGAGTTAGCAAGGGAATAGTGCAAAGGAGTAAGAAGATTATTGTGTAAGATTGTAAGTTGTACTTTTGCAGATTTCAAGGAAAGATTATAGAGGCAGTGATTCTGGGACCTAGCAAAGTCAGCATGCCGTTTAATGTCACGTCATGTTAATGCACGTTATCTTCAATGACAATTTAAGATGACTCTAGGTTTTCTGTTATGGAAAAGTAGAACAGGTGACTGGATTTATTTCAGGTTAGAATGGTGTTTCTCTTGAGATTAAGATAAGATACTTGTATATATTGCTTTTGTCTGATTACATTTTTATGTGAGTGGAATGGCAGATAAGTGAGCTAGTATGTGGGTTATGCTTAATGTGTCACATATATTTTGTGATAGGTTTTGAAACTGATCACCAGCTGATTTAACTTGATGTATGCTAAGGGATTGTCAAGCAGTAGCATTTGAAATTCAGATGTCACAAGGTGGAGTAGGTGTGAATATTGTGGAATATGAAGTTTACTGTTGTATTTTTTTTTCAGCAAATTGAGTTGCTACAAGGAAAGTGCATATATAATATTACTTTTAGCATTAAAGTTTAATAGAACACTAATTGTCCTCAGGGTATGGAATTTTTTTTCTAAGAACAGTTTACTGTAAATTAAGAATAGGGATAGATGGAGGGAGCTTTAAAAAAACGGGAATCCTATGGAGTCCAAAAGTGGTGTGTGGCAGATTCCTCAGGTGAAAGTGACAAAAGGGGTAGAAAGCTGTTACTCTGGATTTTATCAAAGGGAGGAAAACAAACCTGTGGGGGGATGGGGAAGTCATACACCTGATCATGTAGGTAGGTTAACCATTAGGGATAACCACTCTTCATGCATGTGGTTGTATGCTTTGTGATGGCAAGAATGAAATTAAAACTGCAATTTACCTGACTTTCTTTGACTTGTTGAGCCAGAGGGTATGTTTATACATGCCATGTCCACTCTGATTTTAGTGCATTCATTTTGATTATAGATAAATGGTTCCACCAGAGGCTATTAATAGTTCTACCTGATCACACCTGTTTCCCCTCTTGTGGAGAGATTTTAGTTTGTTATTTCTATTAGAATTGTTAAAGAAGATTATAGTAATCGTAATGTTAGTGATTATGTTGATAATGATAATAACCGTAATGATATTAGTATCATTATTTTTTTTCCTGGAAACTCAGTAATAGGGAAATGAGGTGAATTAGGACTGT